GCTGCGAGGCCCAGGGGGAGCTGTGTCCCTCGCTTGGGGGACCCGTCTCAAGTCGGCCGGAGTCAGAGCTCGGCCCCGCCGAAGGGCTGACAATCCCACGGACTTCGGATCTCAAACCTCGCGCCCCCGCATGACAGCGCCTCTTCTGTCCCCTGCCAGGGATCTGTGGGCTCCTGCGGCCGATACGCACGAGGGCCACATCACCAGCGACATGCAGCTTTCTAGTCCCTCGCTTGGGGGACCCGTCTCAAGTCGGCCGGAGTCAGAGCTCGGCCCCGCCGAAGGGCTGACAATCCCACGGACTTCGGATCTCAAACCTCGCGCCCCCGCATGACAGCGCCTCTTCTGTCCCCTGCCAGGGATCTGTGGGCTCCTGCGGCCGATACGCACGAGGGCCACATCACCAGCGACATGCAGCTTTCTACCTACTTAGACCCCGCCCTGGAACTGGGCCCCCGAAATGTGCTGCTCTTCCTGCAGGACCAGGTGCGCCTCCCCGGTCATCTGAGGGTCATCTGGAGGGTCACCTGGAGGCAGGCAGACCCTTGTTCCCACAACTCGTTTCCCAGGGAAGCCCAAATGACCTTGTTCCAACCGTGAGAAGTGTGGCTCTCCTGTTGTGAAGGCCCCTAGGAGAAGCGTCAACGGAATGTCGAGAGCTGACTTAATTAGGTGAAGTAAGGGACAGAGGCCAGAAACCTCTGAAGTACCAGATACTTTAGATAGTTTCTTCTTTTTTTTTTTTTTACTGCTTTTTTGGAGTCTCACTATGTAGTCCATCTTGGCCTCACACTCAAGGTGATCCTCCTGCCTCAGCCTCCTGAGTGCTGGTGTGAGAGGCATACATGCTGCCATACCTGTCTGATGTATTCTGACTTCCTCTAGTATGTTGGGGACTATGGTCAGTTTGCAGATGAGATGCTGGGGAAGAGTAGCTGTCACCAAGGTCACACAGGCAGAGGTGGACTTCTGGCTGCAGTGGGGAATAACCTGAAAGTGATACCTTCCTTAGTGCTCCCTTAGTGCAGGTGCTCAGCTGATGCCATTAGCTGGGTCCCGTAGCCAGGGGAAAATAAGGCTCGTAGGCTGGAATGATTTGATGGAGTCCCACCATTTAAGAGAGTGCACAGGGGTTCAGCGTGAGTCTCTTGGGCCATCTCCCTGTGTATGTAACCATCACATTGTGTTCCCTCCCCTCCAGGCTTCTCCCAAGTGGGTATGCAGACCACAGCATCTGGGGCTAGTGTTTGCGAGGCTGTCAAGCCTCTGCTTGTCCACTCCTCATTAGTGGCTTGTCTGGCTCAATCCCTGTTGCTGAGTTGGCAGGTAGTGGCTGTCATGCTGGCCTGTATCCCTTCCAGGAGGTGGTGTGATATGTAATCATAGTTAGGCGTGGTGGCACACATCTGTCATCCCAGCATTCAGGAGGCTGAGGCAGGAGGATCGCCTCGAGTTTACGGCCACTCTGGGCTGCAGAGTGAGTTCAAGGCCCAGCCTGGAATACTCAGCGAGACCCTATCTAAAAGAAAAAAACAAAAACCAAAAAAATGTAACGAGATCAAAACTCAGCCCTAGTTCTACCTCTTGTCAGCCTTTGGGGCCATGAAATGATCCTGTAAATGATCTACATCAGAGGATTGCGAAGCACAGATCTTAATCTACTTCAAACTCCTACCCGGGGTCTGCCAGTCTTTGGGCATTCTTTTTTTTTTTTTAGGCATTCTTTTCATTTATTCCTTTGCCAAAGATGGCATGGTGAGTGTTTAACAAGGATTGAGTGTTGGGGACATTGTGTGAGCAGAGTAACCCAAGCCTCTATTTTTGGGAAGCTGACACTCTTGTGAGCGCAACCGGTAAATCCTGTGATGGTGTGGTCTGTTGTGACCCTGCTATGGGCCAGAGAAGGACACAGTGGCTGGGGACATGGTTTTATTTTTTTAAATTTTTTTGTTTTTTTGAGACAGGATCTCACTATGTAGTTGAGACTGCCCTGGAACTCACTATGTAGCCCAGGCTGGTCTCGAACTCACAGCGATCCTCCTGCCTCAGCCTGCCAAGTGCTGGGATTACAGGCGTGCACCACCATGCCCGGCTGGGGACATGGTTCTAGATGAGGGTGGTCAGGCAAAGCTTCACTGAAGAGGTGATATCTTGAGGGAGGGCAGGAGCCATCACCTTTGGACAGGGGCGTGGGTTGCCGAGCGTAGCCCTGCTGAGTTCTAGCAGAGGCCAGTGTGGTTGCAGCAGGGTCAGAGAAACAGGTAGAAGGTGGCAGTTCCAAATGGGACAGAGAGCACTGGGCAATATGGAACAGGGAGTGCTGTGGTCTCTTGATTAAAGAAAGCCCAGCTGGACATGGTGGTACCCTGGGAGGCTGAGGCAGGAGGGACACTGCAAGTTTGAGGCCAACCTGGACTACCTGTCTCAAAAGCAAGCAAGTCAGCCCCCTGGGCATAGTACAGGCAGCCACATGGGATGTAGCTTCTGGCCAGAAGGTGGGAGGCCAGGCAAGTGTGTACACTAAACAGTGAGGTTCGGGAAGCAGGCTGAGGTGTCTGGCCAGAGGAAGCTGGGGGCTGGGGTGGCAGCAGGAGTTAAAGGACGCTTGGAGGTCATGGAGGGAAGATGGGGCAGTGTTTGGGTTATCATGGGCCCCAGAGCTCTGCCAACCTTGCTGCTGCTTCCACCGAGGGCCCAAGGTCTTTCTTTCTCTCCTGTCCCACCATGAATGGTGCGATGGGGACTTGTCATCTTGGTGGAAAGGATCCTGTCTGTTGGACATTGCTGGGCCCTTGCTCTAAAGCTACTTCTGGGTTGGAGATGGGCTGTGCTTGCTTCAGCCCTGCCCCCTCCTCACTTCCCTCCTGTTCCTCTTTCTGGCTGACTCCTGCTCTGGAAGTTACCATGAGCCAACCCCGTGACTGTCTTCTGGTCTTGTCACCCTGCCCTGAGAGTGCTGGGGACAGGGTTGAGGCTCCCACCCAGTCCCTGCGGCCCACCCTCGTACCACACCAGGGCTGGCTGGAGCAGATGCTACCTGCCCTGGCCCTTGTTCTTGCCTGGCTGCCTGAGCTGCTTCTTTGTCTAACCCATAGCTCAGCATCGAGGACTTCACAGCGTATGGCGGTGTGTTTGGAAATAAGCAGGACAGTGCTTTTTCGAACCTGGAGGTAAGCATCCCCTTCCAGCCCCAGGCTATGGGGTGGGCATTCTGTGCTTCCTCTCCCAGCACAGTAAGAACTATACCATTTGGGCCAGGCACAGGGGGCCACATTTGTAATCCCAGCACTCCAGAAGCTGAAGTAGAAGGATTGCATGTTTAAGGCTAACCTGAGAGACGTAGCCAGCCTCTGTCTCAAAAAGGTCTGTGTGTGGGGGTGCTGAGAATATATCTCAGTGCAAAGGCCCTCAGTTCAATCCCAGCAACACACACACGCACTTGGGACTGGTCCCCCAGGCAGGCTTTGAGTGTTGAATGCACTGGGGTCTGAGTGTCAAGGGCCCCAGGAGCATCTCTTCCTGACCACAGTGGGGACCCTGTGTGGGTGTGGCCCCCAGCTCAGTTCTCTCTTCCCTCTGTCCCCAGAATGCCCTGGACCTGGCCCCCTCCTCACTGGTGCTGCCTGCAGTCGACTGGTATGCAGTCAGCACCCTGACCACCTACCTGCAGGAGAAGCTGGGTGCCAGCCCCCTGCACGTGGACCTGGCCACCCTGCGGGAGCTGAAACTCAATGCCAGCTTCCCTGCCCTGCTGCTCATCCGCCTGCCCTACACAGCCAGGTGCGTCGGGTGCGGAAGTGACGGGGTTCCCTGTGAGCCTCCCTGTTCCCAGGGCAGGTGATGGGGACTTGGCCTGGGTTACAGGGGACAGGAATCCAGGCAGGATGAGGTAAGCGGATATACAGGGCGCTCCTGGTCACCCAGGTGAGGGGCTGTGGACTGAGGGAGGGCGCAGGTCCCTGAGTGGTTCATGTTCTGTCCTATCCACAGCTCTGGTCTGATGGCACCCAGGGAGGTCCTCACAGGCAACGGTGAGTGGGCCCAGGGAGGACATGTGTCTGCACCCCACCCTCAGGCCCCTACTTCCTACACTGTGGCTGCCCCTGACACGGGTACCCAGGACCCAGGCTTTGCCCAGGTTCATGAGTCCTAGGACTTTGGATTTAAGAGACCAGAAACACTTGGGCAGAACAATTAGGAGGTGAAAGCCAGGTGTGGTGGCGCATGCATCATCCCAGCACTCAGCAGCTGAGGCAGGAGGATTATTTGTTTTTTTTGTTTTTTGTTTTTGGTACCGGGGATCGAACTCTGGTCCTTGCGCTTATGAGGCAGGCGCCAGAACCACTGAGCTAAATTCCTGGCCCTGCAGGAGGATTATTGTGAGTTGGAGGCCAGCCTTGGCTACATAGTGAGTTCAAGGCCAGCCTGGCCTACATGCCAAGACCCTGTATTAAAAATAAGCAGACCCAAAAAAAAAAAAAACCCAATTAGGAGGATTTGTCTCTGCTATTAAGGACAGTCGTTCCCACCACCCTTAGGTTGGGCTGCTTGCCAGGGAACAAGAGGCTGAGGCCACAGCTGTCCTGGGGAGGCTGTGGGGGGTGGAATGGCTGTCCCTAGGCACCTTCAGTGGATACCACAGGCTCTGGTCAGTGTCTAGGTGAGGCCGGGAGTGTTTCTTTAGGCTGCCACCTGGTGACCAGGTCCCCTGCTCTTGCCACCCCTCAGATGAGGTGATTGGGCAGGTGCTGAGCACCCTCAAGTCCGAAGACATCCCCTACACAGCTGCACTTACAGCGGTCCGCCCCTCCCGGGTACGTGTCCTTAGGGGTGCTGTGTGTCCTAGGGACCCAGGAAGCAGTGTGCAGAGAACCCCAGTGGGGTCCATGGGACAGCATGCGGGAAGGGCCTCCTGTGCCCTGTGGGTATTGGTGGGGAGAGCAGGTGCCAAGTTGGATGTGCTCTCGGAGCTGTTGACAGAGGCTTCCTGGCTTTTCACACAGGTGGCTCGAGACATAGCCATGATAGCTGGGGGGCTAGGTCGCCAGCTGCTCCAAAAACAGGTGCCGTTACCTGTGACCCATCCCCCTGTGAGCTACAACGACACTGCCCCTCGGATCCTGTTCTGGGCCCAGACTTTCTCTGTGGAGTACAGAGGGCACTTGGAAGACCTGACCTCCCGCACCTTCCAGTCACAGGAGCTCAACCTCACGGGCTCCTTCTGGAATGACTCCCTGGCCAGGTGAGGGCCAAGGCAGGGAGCTGGGGGTGCTTTCAGGGGGACACAGTCACCAGGAGGATAGAGGTGGCATCTTGGCTGGGGCGGTTAGAGGGGGCTAGTCACGCCTATGAGGCCTTGTTAGGCCCTGGGCTGTGGACACTGGAGTCACCCAGTCTGGGGCTCCTGGGCCCTCCCACTGTCCTCACCCCAAAACCCTACCAGGTGGCTCAGTAGTGACCCCTAGAGGAAGCTGACGAGGGACGGTGGACTTGGGGGCCGGAAGTATGGATCTGAATGCTGGTTCCGGCTCTTTTCCCAACTTATGTCCCTACCCGTTCAGTGGGGACAATGCCTGTTCAGTGGCTGTGAGGGCCTGGGCTGGGGCAGCTTAGTAGGGCAGAGCTGGACGCTTGCTCCTCCAAGCCGCTCCAGCCCCCTGACACATGCTTCCGCTTTGGCCAGACTCTCGCTGACCTACAACGGGCTCTTTGATGCCATGGTGACCTTCAGGTGAGTCTTAGGTTGGTGGGCTGTGGGTGGGCTCGTGCAGTGTGGTGCCCCTGCTCACCTGCCACTTGCGCTGCCTTCCAGGTTCATCCTGGCAAACCACTTCTACCCGGTGTCTGCCCGCAACTGGTTCACCATGGAGCGCCTGGAGATTCACAGCAATGGCTCCATCGTCACCTTCAACACTTCCCAGGTCACTGGGCCCAGCATCTACTCCTTCCACTGCGAGTATGTGAGCAGCAACAGCAACATGGGCAACCTTCTGGTGCCCCGCACACAGCCCTCCCTGTGGCACATCACTCTCCAGCACTTCCAGGTGCGTCCAGGGAGGGGACATGGGGGTGGCAGTTGGGGAGGGAGTGCTTCAGGCTCAGCCCTTCCCTGGCCTCCGTGTGCATGGAGCCTCCTGGTCTCTCCTGACCTGCCTCCTCGTGTCCCTCAGATCCAGGCCTTCAATGTGACAGGTGATCAGTTCTCCTATGCCAGCGACTGTGCGGGCTTCTTCTCCCCGGGCATTTGGATGGGGCTGCTCACGTCCCTCTTCATGCTTTTCATCTTCACCTATGGGCTGCACATGATCCTCAGCCTCAAGACCATGGATCGCTTTGACGACCACAAGGGCCCTGCCATCGCTTTGACCCAGATTGTGTGACCCGTGCCAGTGAAGGGTTGAGGGCTTGGCAGTGTGTCCCACGCTGTGGCACAGCGGACGGACGGAAGGGTTTCCCCTCTCTCCCATAGCATGAACCGCACGCTCCTCTCAGCCTGCCCTCTCCCCCTTCAGCCGCTGCAGGCTTCCCGAGGCTGTCCCCATCCCTGCCAACAAGGTGTACATATTCTTCATAGGCAGATCACTCCCTGGCTCAGTCATCCTGAGAGGAGAGGACGTTAGTTCTAGGGTCCCCTTTCTACCTGTTATTTATTCTCATCTCTCCGCCATCCACCCTCTTTCTTCATCGTGCTTTTGTGTGCAAATGCCCCTCCCCAGGCTCTCTGGGGCTCCCTGGAGCAGCCATGAGCTTGGGGTCCCTCAAATGTGTGGGAGGGTGGAAGTACTACTTACCCTTCCTACTCAGCTGCTGTTTGGTTGTGTGCTAATGATAGTCAGTACATGGGTTTGTTTCTGTGGCCTAAGAGGGAAGGGACCGACTTTCATAACAGGTGGGCCGGGCGTGATCACTGGGTTTCTGGCATGTTCTCACCAGGAACGCCTGGTAGGAGTCTGGGGCGCTCTGTTGTTTCCTTCAAAATAAAATAACCAAGGGTCGCCATGTGTTGGGCTTCTTGTCACTCATTTCTGTGCTGGGCCTAAGGTGTGTGTGTGTTCTTTGCCCAATGGATGCGCTTGGCGATGCAGAAGGAAGCACCCGGATGTAGTTGAGCCAGGCCAAAGCCAGATCCCCAAGGGCTCTGACAGCCAGGCTTCTCTGGGGGGATCTATATCGCACCGCGCCCCAGTGAGGTACAAAGGGGCGGTCGGGGCCGCGTCTGGTGACCTCTGTTCTTCGGCAGGCGCTCATCGTGACAGTGGCAGCTATCACACCACAGGGAGGGAGGGGGTCCGCCCCGGCTGCAGCAACGGTGCGCGGCCGGCCCTCGGGAGCCCGGGAGCCCGGA